AATACCGTCGTCTTCTCTCCCGCGCTGAAGAATTTGTATTCCACGTCATAGACCTGCGGGGAGACAAATGGAAGTGATACATGGAACAATATTGGTTTACAGCGCTAGTTCGAGGTGCAGTTTGAAGGCGCGGTAATCAAAGGTTTTTATTTTTCCGAATATGCATTTTTCAAAAAATGTTTCAAATAAAAATTTTAAAGTAACTTTACACGTCGGCCTGAATAAATTCATGACATCGCAATACTTGGCAACTGAGTCATGTTAACTACTTGACCCCCCTGGCCAATTCTGACACTTTTCACAAATGTGTCAAAATCTACAATTTTTTTCTTAGAAAATGATTTAGAACCCCCAAATTTATATATTTCTAAAAAAAATACATACAATTAAAAAAATAATACATTTTATTACATTAAATTACATTTTAATACATTTTATTGCAGACAAACATAAATATAATATCCATGTCTTACTGTAAATTATCAGAAATTTTAAAGTAGACCCGTCAGTAACTTTACACGTCGGCCTGAATAAATTCATGACATCGCAATAAATGGCAACTGAGTTTTTTTCTTTTTTTTTTTTTCTTCGAAAATTACTTAGAACCCCCAAATATTTAATTTTTAAAAAATGTAGTACACAAACCCCACGCTATTATTTATAAAAAAAAATACCATTAACAAATAATACATTTTATTACATTTTATTGCACACAAACACAATATAATACCCATGTCTTACTGTAAATAATCAGAAATTTTAAAGTAGAACCATCAGTAACTTTACACGTCGGCCTGAATAAATTCAAGACATCGCAATAAATGGCAACAGTCATTTTCTTTTTTTTTTTCTAAGAAAATTACTTAGAACCCCCAAATATTTAATTTTTAAAAAAATGTAGTACACAAACCCCACGCTATTATTTATAAAAAAAAATAACATTAATAAATAATACATTTTTTTATATTAAATTACATTTTAATACATTTTATTGCACACACAATATAATATCTATGTCTTACTGTAAATTATCAGAAATTTTAAAGTAGACCCGTCAGTAACTTTACACGTCGGCCTGAATAAATTCATGACATCGCAATAAATGGCAACTGAGTAATTTTTCTTTTTTTTTTTTCTTAGAAAATTACTTAGAACCCCCAAATATTTAATTTTTAAAAAATTTTGTACACAAACCCCACGCTATTATTTATATAAAAAAAATACATACCTTTAAACAATAATACATTTTATTATATTAAATTACATTTTAATACATTTTATTGCACACAAATACAATATAATACCCATGTCTAACTGTAAATTATCAGAAATTTTAAAGTAGACCCGTCGGTAACTTTACAAGTCGGCCTGAATAAATTCATGACATCGCAATAAATGGCAACTGAGTAATTTTTTTTTTCTATTTCTTAGAAAATTACTTTGAACCCCCAAATATTTAATTTTTAAAAAAAATGTAGTACACAAACCCTGTGCTATTATTTATCACCCCCAAAAAAAAAATACATACCATTAAAAAATAATACATTTTATTACATTAAATTACATTTTAATACATTTTATTGCAGACAAACATAATATAATATCCATGTCTTACTGTAAATTACCAGAAATTTTTAAAGTAGACCCGTCGGTAACTTTACAAGTCGGCCTGAATAAATTCATGACATCGCAATAAATGGCAAATAAGTAAATTTTAACTACTTGACCCCCTGACAATTCTGACACTTCTCACATATATGTAAAAATCTACAATTTTTTTCTTAGGGCCTGGGGTCAGTAGGGGGCCCCATGAGATGCCCCTGGTAATAAACCTTTTTTATAGGCTTTTTGAGTTTGGGCAAGGACACAGGGGCCCCATGATCCCCTATTGCCCGGGGGCCCCATGAGTTCTCAGTCCGCCCTGTATAATACCCATGTCTTACTGTAAAGTAGAACCGTCAATAACTTTACACGTCGGCCTGAATAAATTCATGACATCGCAATAAATGGCAACTGATTAATTTTTTTTTTATTTTCTTAGAAAATTACTTAGAACCCCCAAATATTAAATTTAAAAAAAAATTGTAGTACACAAACCCCACGCTATTGTTTATAAAAAAAAAAATACCATTAACAAATAATACATTTTATTACATTAAATTACATTTTAATACATTTTATTGCACACAAACATAATATAAATATCTGTCTTACTGTAAATTATCAGAAATTTTAAAGTAGACCCGTCGGTAACTTTACAAGTCGGCCCGAATAAATTCATGACATCGCAATAAATGGCAACTGAGTAAATTTTAACTACTTGACCACCTGACCAATTCTGACACTTCTCACATATTGTAAAAATCTTTTTTTTTTTCTTAGAAAATTACTTAGAACCCCCAAATATTAAATTTTTTTAAAATTTTTAGTACACAAACCCCACGCTATTATTTATAAAAAAAAAAAATACCATTAAAAAATAAATACATTTTATAATAAATACATTTTAATAATTTTAAAAACATAATATGAGCAACTATCACTTTACATTATCACTTTAAAGTAGACCCGTTGGTAACTTTACACGTTGGGCCTGAATAAATTCATGACATCGCAATAAATGGCAAATGAGTAATTTTTCTTTTTTTTTTCTTAGAAAATTACTTAGAACCCCCAAATATTGAATTTTTTAAAAAATGTAGTACACAAACCCCACGCTATTATTTATAAAAAAAAAATATAGCATTAACAAATAATACATTTTATTACATTAAATTATATTTTAATACATTTTATTGCAGACAAACACAAATATAATATCTATGTCTTACTGTAAATTATCAGAAATTTTAAAGTAGAACCCGTCGGTAACTTTACACATTGGCCTGAATAAATTCATGACATCGCAATAAATGGCAACTGAGTCATTTTTCTTTTTTTTTTCTTAGAAAATTACTTAGAACCCCAAATATTAAATTTTTTTAAAATTTTGTACACAAACCCCACGCTATTATTTATAAAAAAAAAAATACCATTAAAAAATAATACATTTTTATTACATTAAATTACATTTTAATACATTTTATTGCACACAAACATAATAATATAATATCTATGTCTTACTGTAAATTATCAGAAATTTTAAAGTAGACCCTGGCCAACTTTACACGTCGGCCTGAATAAATTCATGACATCGCAATAAATGGCAACTGAGTAATTTTTTTTTTTTTTTCTTAGAAAATTACTTAGAACCCCCAAAATATTACATTTAAAAAAAAAATATAGTACACAAACCCCACGCTATTATTTATAAAAAAAAAAAATACCATTGACAAATAATACATTTTATTACATTAAATTACATTTTAATACATTTTATTGCACACAAACATAATATAATATCTGTCTTACGTAAATTATCAGAAATTTTAAAGTAGCACCTGTCATAAGCTTTACATTGTCGGTCAATAAATTCATGACCTTGCAATGAGATGCAAACTGGTAATTTTCGGGGACTTTTTTTTTTCTTCAGAGAAAATAACTTGAACCCCCAAATATTTCAATTTTTTTTTAAAATGTAGTACAGTCCGCCCCACCTATTATTTCCATAAGAAAAAAAGACCATTACAAATGTACATTTTATTACACTAAATTACATTTTAATGCATTTTATTGCTCACAAACACAATATAATCCAGGGGCGGACTGACCATTTGGAAACTCGGGCACTGCCAAGGGCCCGGGTCAGTAGGGGGCCCCATGAGATTCCCCTGGTACCTTTTTCATAGGCTTTTTTTGAGTTTGGGCAAGGACACAGGGGCCCCATGATCCCCTATTGCCCGGGGGCCCCATGAGTTATCAGTCCGCCCCTGCCAGTCTTACTGTAAATTATCAGAAATTTTAAAGTAGAAAGGGCGTCTCTTTTATTTTCCCCAATTTTTTTTTGTTAGAAAAAACGCGAACCCCCAAATATTAAATGTTTTTAACATTTATACATGCCCCACGCTATTATTTATAAAAAAAACCCTTGGTGATTGGAAAACTAACGGGCATCTGCTTAAGCGACTTCAACTAGGGGTCCCCATGAATTCACCTTACCTTTTTACCAATTACAATTTTTGAGTTTGCCAATTAGGTGGGCCCCATTTCCCCTATTGCACGGGGGCCCCATGCCATGATTATCAGTTTTGGTGGGCGTATAAATATTAGTCCCAATTTTTCTTTTTAAGGTAATTTGCCAGCGGTTAATCAAAAGCAATTTTTTGGGAAAAAATAAATTTTAATAAATTTGCTTGCACACAAACACAATATAACCTACCTGTCTTACTGTAAATTATCAGAAATTTTAAAGTAGACATTGTCAGTAAACTTTCACGTCGGCCTGAATAAATTCATGATTCATCGCAAAACCCATGCAACACAGTAGGTTGCCAGGTCTTTCCCCAAACAGTGCAAGATCCCATGCAGGCCAGGGATATGATATACAGTGAAGTGAACAATTGACAGGACCAATTACTACCTGCAAGTATATAGGAGTAATCAGTAAAATACTAATGGTGTCACTGATTCCACCATAGGGAATAACTATTAAACAGTGCAATTTATATAATCAGGAAACATCATAGTTGGAAAAAAACCCATATAGTACTCAAGACAAAAGTGAACCAACAATACAGTTCAGTTGCCAAGAAAATTAAACAGGATTAATAATCCTGATGCAACTTTGAGGGGCTTCACACAGGAGGCATATGGTTGGGAATTGAACCCTTCATGCAAAAATAATGTGCAATGTGTGTGATTACAGTGGCAATAAAAGGGACTAAAATGCCCCCTGATCTCTTTACTTACACCCCAAGAGGGCCAGGTGCTAGGATAAAAAAGGGAATAACTGTGGGGGTGGGAATCGCCTGGACTGTAGGAGGAATAGAAGATTCCATTATTAGCTGAGGGCAGATAGTCTTCCCTGAAGAGATTGGTTTTCAGCATGCAAAAAAGTGAGCAGAGTAGGCGATAGTCTGACAGATTGGGTTCGATTGAGAGCTAGAGAGCAGGAGGTCTTGGAGGGAGCGGAGAGTACGGTTTGGGTGACTATTTGGAGACAAGGGATTGGTGATGCAATTTGGAGGCTGAGTTATAATTGGGTTTATATGTAATTGTTAATGTTTTGAATTTTATTCATTGGGCAATGGAGGCCAGTGAAGGGATTGGCAGAGAGGGGTGGAGGACACTGAATGGAGGCCAGTGGAGGGATTGGCAGAGAGGGGTGGAGGACACTGAATGGAGGCCAGTGGAGGGATTGGCAAAGAGGATGGAGGACACTGAATGGAGACCAGTGGAGGGATTGGCAGAGAGGGGTGGAGGACACTGAATGGAGGCCAGTGGAGGGATTGGCAGAGAGGGATGGAGGACACTGAATGGAGGCCAGTGAAGGGATTGGCAAAGAGGGATGGAGGACACTGAATGGAGACCAGTGAAGGGATTGGCAGAGAGGGGTGGAGGACACGCTGAGTGGTGACCAGTGGAGGGATTGGCAGAGAGGGCTGGAGGACACTGAATGGAGGCCAGTGCAGGGATTGGCAGAGAGGGGTGGCAGATACGGAACGGTTAGTAAGGTGGATGAGTCTTGCAGCAGAATTCATGATACACTGAAGAGGGGATATTGGTATAAGGTGAGTATATTTGTTTCTTATTTTCTGTAAAAAATTATTTTAGATAATGCGCTAGGCATTTGCGCCCTCTCTGTTCTTATGATTTGCATGAAAACATGGGGTTGAGGGGGGGTAATGGGCATTTAAATTTAGGTTTTTTTATATTGATTTTATTTTTTTTAACACTGTCCCTTTAATTTAAAAAAAAAAAAAAAAAACAACTTTATTGCCATCACAAGGAATGAGCAACACCTCTTTGTGATTTCTCTTTATGAGTCTGTGACAGGTCCTCTTTATGGAGCGATCTGGGGTCCCCCATTGAAAAAATTAGAAGTCCCCCATTGAATAAATTGGTGGCAGCTGCAGTTTTTCATTTTTTTTTTTTGCTCCACTTAACCCCTCGGCGCCGGCACCTCCCGGCCCTTTAAAGGTTTCAGAAGCCGGGAGGCGGGGTCGGGTTCAGAGTCATGTGACCACCGTGACACGACGTCACGGCGGTCACAGGATCGGGAAAGGTCCCGATCGAAAGAGGAGATCGGGACCTTACCGTGAGCACTGGACATGTGTGCTGGGAGCGCGCAGGGCGCGCGCTCTCGGCACATATGTTTTTTTTTTTTTATAGAACACAAATCTGCGGCCGCTCGGCGCCTAGGCTCAGACGCCGGGAGGCCGCACATTTGCATTCAGACAGCACCAAGAGGTTAATGTACATTTTCAGTTAAAAAATACACACAAACTAGCAAAAAGTGTGAAAAGCCGCAACACCAATACTCAGACAAGTTAGGTTTTTTTTTAAGAAAATGGTTTCAGCTTGTCTCCAACAGAGGCCATGCTCTCCAATGGGTTTCATCCACCCTCCAACGTGTTTCACCCAACCTCCAACGCATTTCACATTTCACCCACCCTCCAACGCGTTTCACCCACCCTCCAACGCATTTCACCCACCCCAACGCGTTTCACCCACCCTCCAACGTGTTTCACCCACCCTCTAACTTGTTTCATCCATCCATGGACTTAGTTGTAGAGCCTTTTGACTAAGCCCATGGGTGAAACGCATTAGTGGGCCACGGCTTCTGGAGGAGACAAGCTGAAGCCATTTTCATTGATTGCCGTAAATGTCCTCCTGCCCTGGTGATGGCTTCTTCCCTCCATTTCTTGTTTGTCACAGGAACAGGAAGTTTAGGGAAATCTCTCAAACACGGTCACACAGAAAAAAAAAAGTTTTCACTCTTTTCCTATTTGTTTTTTTGTTGTCACATCCCTGGCAGAGAAGAGTCAACTCGATTACAATATCTAGGAAGCTGAAAAAAAGTCGCTAAGTGTCACGTGAAAAGCGCGGAGATAAAACGATTCTGCAAGCAGATGTTTGGCGTGTGTTCGCCTGCCAGGAACACGCTGTAATGACAGCCGAGTATTCATCTAGAAAGACTTGCAATATACCTAACCGAGTTCAAAACATCTCCTTTCAAAGCTGGCGGAGTGGGTAGATGTTTCAAAATAATGGATTTTTGGCACCTGTTTTTATTTGCGTTTAAATCTCTGAGTTCTGAAAAAAACATGAATAGGGGATGTGGAAATAGTGTGCTTGATGCTATTCCATGGCAATGAGGGATGACTGCGTCTGTAATCACTGCTGAATTCGCTGCTTTATTTGTCCTTTTTTTTTTTTTATTTTCTTCTTTCTTGCTGACAAACAGGAAACCTCTTTAAAGTGGAACTCCTCCTGTACGAAGGTGTATATTAATACCGAAGAACAATGAATGTAAAGGTTTGGCAGTCCCTGTAAGTAATTTCCGGCAAAACGAATCGTGACCGGAAATGCACGATCGCGCACGGCAAAGATTGGCACCAGACGGCCTATTTAAGGAGTGTCTCTGCTCATGTTCAGTGCTGACTGGTCTTCAGCTCCCCCGTGTCCTGCTTGTTCCTGTATGATTCCTTTGTTGCTGACCCTTCTTGTTCCTCACCTGACTCTGATTGCTCTCCTGATACTAGTTCCTGACTTCAGCTCTGCTCCTGACCTTGGCTTTTCCTTCTGATTCTGTACCGTGCTGCCCGACTGTTGATGACCCTTGGCTATCCCATGACATTGCTCCTGTCTCTTGTCCTCACTACCTGCCTTGCTCTGGTGCACGCCTGGCAATCTGCAAAACTTGCTCTGCTTGTTACTACTGTGCAAAAATCAGAGGATCATCAGCCTTCCAAGGTCATCATCTGCAAGAGCTGCAAACAACTACTGGCACTCTTGTTCCCCTGGGTCCTAGACTCCCTCTGTTCCACCTCCAGTGGGATCAGGGCTAGTGACACAAGTGAGGCCGACCTCGTCATTTCAGTCTCCCATCAGGTACGTGACAGTACCAGTCAGCCAATGATGGAGTCTGAAAGGGAGGCCTCGCAACTGGGGGACATTCGACAATCAGTAACTACCTTGTTTAACGTGATACAAGACCTGCAGAAAAACTTTGAGCATCTGGAGAGTAAACTGCTAACTGACTCTAATGTCCTCACAGACACAGATCTCACAGCAGCCTTTGGTGCAGCCACTCATACGGAGACCAGTATGATCTTTGAAACCCCTGCCCTACCGGAATCCCGGGTGCCTACGCCTGAGTTCTTTACAGGAAGTTCAGGACTTTTCGAAATTCCTGTGAGTTATATTTTTCCCTGCACCCCAGGACCTTCTCTTCACCAAATACTAAGGTGGGATTTATCATTACGCTTCTTAAGAATGAACCTCAGTCCTGGGCCTACCACCTCCGTGAACAACATGATCCGGCTCAGGGGCGGACTGACAACTCATGGGGGCCCCCGGGCAATAGGGGATCATGGGGCCCCTGTGTCCTTGCCCAATCTCAAAAAAGCCTATGAAAAAGGTACCAGGGGCATCTCATGGGGCCCCCTACTGACCCCTGGCCCTCGGGCAGTGCCCGAGTTTCAAATGGTCAGTCCGCCCCTGATCCGGCTCTAACTTCAGTGGACTCGTTTTTTACAGCGATGGCACAAATCTATGATGATCCTTTCCGGCGCCAAACAGCTGAATCTATGCTCAGTAAGCTACAGCAAGGCCATAGGCCTGTGGAAGAATATGTTACTGATTTCCGCATCTGGAGTTTTGATACTCAGTGGAACGAGTCTGCTCTCTGCTATCACTTTCGTCTTGGTCTTTCTGATACCCTGAAGGATGAGCTGGCCCAACCAGATTGGACAGTCTGATAGACCTGACAATCCACATTGACCGTTGGATTTGGGAAAGACAGGATGAGAGGACTAACGGGAAGATTCTGATATGCTCAGAAATTGGGCCCTCCGTGCCCTCCACGAATGTTGTTCCGTCAGAATCACCCACCAATCCAGCTAGGAGAAGCTTTTGGAGACCACAGTTATCCGCAGCAGAACGCCTTCATCGGCAGAAGTCCAACCTCTGCCTCTACTGTGGTGATGCAGGTCATTTTGTGGCGACCTGCCCGATAAAACCTCATAAGTCCTCTCCCAACTGTTTTTACATGATGCACCCCCAAGGGACAAGCCAAACGCACCTCTCCTTTCATCTGCAACTACAACTGGCTGAAAGGACAATCACGGTCCCGGCCATCATAGACTCGGGTGCTTGCAGTTGTTTTATGGATGTGCACTTCGCTAACCAGAATAAGATTCCACTCCGTACCAAAACACAAAGACTTGCAGTTCATCTGGCAGACGGGTCTGGTATCAGTTCTGGCCCTGTAACACAAGAAACCATGCCAATATTCTGCTATTCTCTTTCAGGACACCAGGAATTTCTATGTCTGGATATTATCACCTCCCCGATTTTTCCAGTTATTCTCGGCATGCCTTGGCTAAGAGCGCACAACCCAACCATCAATTGGTTGTCTGGAGAAATCTTCTTCCCTTTAGAATATTGTCTGACTCACTGCACTCCTAAAGAAACAAGTGTGACCACTCCTCTTCTCAGTATTCACTCTGATCCTGAGACCATGAAACTCGTTCCTGTGGTGTATCATGAGTATCTGGACGTGTTCAATAAAAAGAGAGTGCCAATATCCTTCCTCCTCATCGCTCCTATGACTGCCCGATTGAGCTCCAGCCCGACGCCGAAATTCCTTTGGGTCGAATTTACCCCTTATCCGAAGTCGAATTAGGAGTCCTCCTGGGGTATATAGACGAAAGTTTTGAAAAAGGGTTTATTCGCCATTCTTCATCACCAGCAGGAGCCGGCATCTTCTTTGTTGAGAAGAAGGATCACACTCTTAGACCTTGTGTAGACTACCGTGACCTAAACAAGATAACGGTCAAGAATCGTTATCCTCTTCCTCTAATCCCCAAATTATTTCAAAGGCTGCGAGGAGCATGTTTCTTCTCAAAATTGGATCTGAGGGGCGCTTACAACCTAGTGAGAATTCGTGAAGGTGACGAATGGAAGACGGCCTTTCGAACCCGATTTGGGCATTTTGAATATCTGGTAATGCCTTTTGGTCTCTGTAATGCCCCAGCAACCTTCCAACACCTAGTAAATGATGTATTTTGGGACTATCTGGATCTATTCCTCATCATTTATCTGGATGAAATCCTGGTTTTCTCCAGTTATATAGAAAGTCTTCGGGATCACGTAAAGAAAACTCTGGATAGACTACGCCAGCATCGCCTCTACGCAAAGGCCGAGAAATGCGAATTTGAGAGGCAATCCATCCAGTTCCTTGGGCTTGTGATCACTTCTGAGGACATCTCTATGGACCCCCAAAAGGTGTCTGCCGTCTTACAATGGCCCATTCCAGGAGACAGGAAAGCAGTGCAGCACTTTATAGGGTTCGCAAATTTCTATAGGAAATTTATCAAAAACTTCTCTGGAATCATCGCAACAGTGACACAGCTCACCAGGCAGCATATTCCCTTCAAGTGGACTCCTGAGGCCCAAGCAGCCTTTGAGCAATTAAAAATCATGTTCACCTCCGCACCTAT